TCGTCCTGTTCTGTCCGGCCTGTGGCCCAGTGGCCGCTGCAGACAGACTCCCTTCCCCACATCTGCTCCCTGACTGAGAGCAGCAGCTGGAATCGGTCTGCAGGGCAGAAGCACCAATAACGCGGCACCCCGTGATGAACGACACCATTTCTCTGCAGACAAGCAGATCCGTCAGCGGCCCGCTGCAGCGCTGCTTCCCCCTGCAACACGTCCCTTTAACGAAGCCGCTAATAAGAGATGCATAATGTGTGGTAACATCATCTTCTGTGGCTGGAAAAGCTTGACTCAGAGCTGGAACTGAAGCAGATGATTTACTAGGAAAAATCAATGGTGTGCAAACAGGAACAAGCCTGTTGGGTCTGAGGATTCATGGACATTTCAGACTAAATCCTTCAAATATCTATAGTATTCACCCTCTCTTTGTTTTCTGGTGAGAGTGTCCTTGTCCCCGTCTTGCTTTGGGGAGGAAAAAAAACAAAACAAACTTTTCCTAATATTATCTGTTAGATTTCAGCATCGGCTCGCCTTGCCCAGGGACTGAAAGCAGTGCCTTTGTTTACAGCGTTTCTCCTTGAAACTGACAGGAAATGGTGCTGATGTCCTCTGAAGTGATGGAAACATTCCCTCGTGTGTGTGTGTGTGTGTGTGTGTGTGTGCGTGCGTGCGTGCGTGCGTGCGTGCGTGCGTGCGTGTGTGTGAACTCCTGCTGTCTGTGCAGCCATGAACAGATGGAGAGGTGACTCTTCACCCTGAGCTCGATCTCTCAGGATATTTTCTCCTCAGTATTTGAGGAAAATCCAGCGACGACTCAACCTTTGGAAAGAGTTTGGGTCACATGTCGGGTCCCCCGCCTTGGAAATTAGATTTTAGCCCTCATCTCTGTCTTTTTCCAGCTGGTCCAGTTGGTTCTGTGTTAATTTGAGCTTTTTGTGCTGGTCAACTCGCAGTGAGCCTGGTTCTGGTTCTGGTTTCACCTGTGTTTACTTCCCTGCTGGTATTAGTACATCTCTGTTGTTTGCACAGTTTTATTTTCATTTTCACTTGTTATAAATTGTCTGTTTTAATACACTAATAAATGTGCATATTTTGTCTATTTTTAAAATAATCCTATTAGAGATGCACTGATCTGATATTAATATCTGTATCGGTCCTGATTCAAGTACGGGTATTGGTGTTTGCTAATTGTTGTTGGCTAGTCTGAAGGAGCTGAGTGGGGGAGGAGCTGCATCTGAAAGGTGGGGCTAGGTCCACCCAGGTGTTTTGAATAGCTGACTGGTTGCTATGGACACATAAAAGTATCAAGGCAGCGCTCCACGTATGTTTTTGATGAGGGAATAATTTTATAACATGATGTCAAGCTCAAAACAGTCACACTTATATAATACTGCCCCTTTAAACGCGATAAGAAAGTATATCGAGAGTCTGTTCTTCAGTCCCGACTACAGAGAGCATTAAAACATAAAACATTAAATCAACTCTGCTTTACTGCAAGTCAAGGAATAAGAGTGGTGTTTTTCATGGCTAGAGACGGCCTTTGATCCTGTCGATGTTCTAGCTGCACATGATGATGTTTACCTGGTCGACTCTCCTCTCCTTGTATTGACATTACACACACCGGCCTGTTGTGACAACAGTGTGTTGGAGCACTGATGCTGCAGGCTGCAGTCACCGACGCAGCAGAGGATCTGCAGCAACAGCAGCCCACTCATCAAACTCTGAGCCTGAAGTTAAAACATTTATCACTTTCTCTTTGATCAGCAGAATAATCCATATCATCTCCAGGCAATGTGTTGCTGATAAAAGCCCAACAAGTCCAAACTGAGGAACTGAAAACAGGAAATACTGAATGCCAGGATGGATTAAAAACTAAACTACGTTTGTCTTTAATGTCATCTTTCATTAAAAAACAGATTGTCCAAATAAAATAGTTTGCTAAATTTGAAGCCTCTGATGAAAAAGAAGAACATCAGTGTGTATCAGTGAAGATCTATGAAACAATCTGTAGATGAAAAACACAGAAAAAAAATTAATTCAAAACAAGGATGCATTTTAAGTTCATTTTATGGAAGTCTTATGATTAATAAAATAACATCTTGTTATCCTGAGAACAGGATAACAAGATTTCTGTTATTATTTACATATTAAAATACTCTGAAAATCACATCAGTTTTATACCCAGAAACAGACTTTTACTGAACAGAGCTTTTTAGTAGCATATGAATTATAATGTTATTCAGCTCATTTGAACTTGTTTAGGCTTTTAAAAGAAATGTTTAATATAAAGACGTAACCGCTCTACTGTATTTGCAATAAAACAGACACAAGTAAATTAGAAGTCATCAGGGATTATTTTAGCAAATTTTAATAACTACATTCATGACAGGGAAAATAAATAAAGAAATGTATTAAGTAATAATGCTTTTCAATTTTAATAGAAAAAAAGTGGCTCTCAAATGCTCTCAGCTTTACATTTTTTAGTCTAATGGCAAAACTTTTGGACACTGCTGATATACGAGATACATTTTAATTAGTTTATTTTTATTTTTTTTCCTCAGAGCTACATTTTAAGCATTGTCCTGGCAGCTGGTGGCGGCCATAGCAGAGGAAGTGGGTAAGGTTGCTCTGTCTAGACTGAAATGAAGCGAGTGAAATTTTGACCTTTGCATCTGAGGTTTAGGAGGCAAATCCTCTGGTTTAGTTTGTTACCTGAATGGTTAGCCGTCCCGTCTCCAGGGCAGGGCCGTATCCGATAGAGAGGAGAGAAATGTGTGTGTTTGGGGGAAATGTGAGTCTTAATAGGCAAAATTACAAAAACATGGGCACTGGTAATTTCATCTTTTCAATCCAGAAATTATATCTTGGGCCACTTTAAAATTTTATAAGAAGGCAATATTATGTGTTTTCCAGATATATAGTGCCATTTCATAACATAATAAACTATGTTAAAATTAGTTGATATAAAAGTGATTTATATATCAAATATTGCTGAAAAGAAATTATATAATGCCTTGAAATTGGGTCTGTCTCTTTAAAAACTTAACATGGCTCCTCTATTAGCCCTTTAACAACATTCTTACCAGTGTTGCTCTGAGAAGTAGCTCCTATAATGAGATCAACAGTTCCACCACAAACTAATTGCTGTTGGCTAGTCTGAAGGAGCTGAGTGTGGGAGGAGCTGCGTCTCGAAGGCAGAGCTAGGTCCATCCAAGCATTTTGCACAGCTGAATAGTTGCCATGGAGATTAAAGGATTTCTCAAACATACATGAAATACTCAAGGCAACACTCTAGGTATGTTTTTAATGAGGTAATAACTTTATAACATGATGGAAAGCTCAAAAAAGTCAGTTTTACATGATACTGGCACTTTAAAGTATTTCATTTAAACACTGCTGGTGGTTCTGCTGGTGGTTCGGCTGGTGGAGCTGCAGCGACATCAGTCAGATTCACTCAGGGTCTTCGTGATGAAGGGAAACCACACCATGAAGGCGTTCGGGGCTATTTGAGACTCTAAGCAGAGTTTAGTTTGGGTTGCAGCTCCAATGCAACCTTCCACCATCTCAACTAAGCTCCTCTTTCTGATGCTCAGGCAGGAGCAGGTGTGATGCTGCAGTCAGAGGAGGAGTGACTGGTGTCAGCAGAGATTGTTCCTCCTTCACCAAAAAAGATTAAAATCTTCCTTCTGTGAACAAAACTTTCAAACAATAAAGGTTTTCCATTTAAAAAACAAAGAGAAGCTAAATACATAGGAATGCTTTCCTGCTGTTGGTGCAGCTGAACCAGCAGAGGAAACACCAGAGCACCAGATTCATCATCTCTCCTGTTATTGTCCAGCAGTGAACCAACGTTGCAGCTCTCTGCCTCTCCATCATTAGCATAGCGTGGGAGCCACAACTGATAGAACGGCCAGTTAGAAGAAATATTCTTTTAATTTATTTATCCATTTTCTATGCCTGCAGAGTGTAAAAAAAACAAACAAAAAAAAACAACTAATTTAATCAAGAGCCGCCTCCATCTCTGATGACATCATTTTCCATAACTCCATGTTGAACAGATGAGGCTATTTAATGATGTTGTGTTTTCATTCTTAAAATTCTTGTTTAACAAACAACAAATTGTGTTCCAAAGGATGTTTAAGTGTAATAATGTAGGAGCAGATTTGAAAGTTTGATGATGGTAGAAAATGAAAAATATAAAAGGAAGGGTAAAAAATAGCAACCAAGCTGTGGTGAGGTGATTTCAGCAGAGCTGTGCCATACCACATATTTTGGGAACGATCTGATAGTAAGTAAATATACAGAACCTGTATCACAGATATCGATTCTTTTTCATTATTTAGGTTTGAAATGTCATCAAACTTTTGACCTTGAAACATTTTTCCAGTTTTTTTCATTTTAATTACTTTTTTATTAAAACCTGGGACAAGAATTTAAGTTTAATGCTGTCTACAAAATACTTTAATAGCAGATTAACTAAGGGTGAACAAATTTATCTGCGCTAATTTATCGGCTGATACTTACACATGAAGCTGATCTTATTCCCCAAGCTTATCTACTTCACCAAACATCTAAAAAATCAGAGACCAGCCTACCAGGTCATGTCTTGCTACATTTAGTGACATTTCAGACAAAAAATATCTGCCAAAATCGAATTTGCAGTTCAAGGTTTTTGAAGATCAGTAGTCTGCAATCACCCAGAAAACTATAAAAACAACACATTTCACAAACAAAAAAACAACAAATTTCTGTGGATTGTTAAAAAAATGCAAGAAAATATAATTTGAGAGCAAATCAAAACAAAATCTTTTTTGAGGCAGACTTGAGAAACTACAATACAAAAATAAAATAAAACTTAGAGAAAGTATGGCTCCACTCTAGTATAGATCTGATACTGACCGACTTCTGGCGATGCCAAATTTAGTTCAAAAGTGTTGATGCAATCAAAAAAAAAAGAAAAAAAAGGGGAAAAAAAATTGACCCAAAAAGGCACCACGGCCAAACTGTCAACCATTTGCATCAACCCAGCCAACCTTCCCCACCTTCAAAACAAACAGAAAGAGGACCAGAGGCTGCAACCCTCCTGCACCTTAAATTAAAGGTTAGCGCAACATGAAGCTCGGTTAAGGTGAGCAGGTCAACTGGGGGTTTGACTCCTCTCTCATAACTGGTTAAACTCCCTGAATGTGGACTAGTTTCGCTTCCCCCCAGCCTGAACTTGCTGTCCCGGTCCAGATGTGCTTCGGTTCGGTTCGGTCCGTGCCCCTGGTTTCTGTTTCTTGATCTAATTAACTCCAGGAGCCACCTTAAAAAGCGGGCAGGGTGATCCCGGCCTGGCCCCGCCTCTCGCAGCTCGTGCGGCAGACGTCGCTCCGGCAGTTTTCCCGGGTCTCTCTCTGGATGTAGACGTTGTCGGAACCTACCGAGTCCGAAACCCAACAGCACCGCTGCGAACTGGCTCCATTTACTGGATCTGAAGTGCCAGGAGTGGGGAGGTGACTTTTTTTCAGCCCCTCCTTATCGATTCTTTTCTGGATTCGGTTCGTTTTCGCCCCCAGGACCAGAGTCTGGTCTCCGCTGAAGAAGGAACTGGTTTCAACGTCGGGACGAAGACCAGTTGGAGGTCCCCCCCCCTTCCTCCTCCTCCTCCTCCTCCTCCTCCTCTTCTTCCTCCCCGCTGCTCGGAGGTTGTTCCACCGCGGAGCCCTGTTGGGAGATGAACCAGCCCCAGTAAGGACTCTGCCCCGCGGTTCGGACTCAGTAGCAGGACGTGATTTGGACCAGAACTCGCCTGTTGAAGGTACCGTCTAATTCCTGCGCAGTTAAACTTTATGTCCACTTGTGGCTGGAAGACGCGGATCCGACATGTTGAATGTTCTGTTTTGTTCTCTAAAATCTGTTTTTTAATTGCTAATTATCGAGGCTGTTTGCGCCAGTAAACGGACACTCCGGCTGTTTTTCCTCCTTATTATCCGCCTCGGTTATCCACAGGTGTGAAGCCGTGGCGAACCCACTAAGATCCACTTTCACGTCGATCTGGATCCCCGGGTTTTAATCCCGGCTCCAGCTGTGGAAACACCGCGGCTCGTTTTCCCCCCGCGGCTCCGTGTTCCGGACGTTAGCTCGGGTACAGCAGCGGCGGTACGTGCCTCCTCTATCCGCAGTCAGAGCTCCATGGAGACCTGCTGCCCGTTTTTTTGCGCTCGGAAATGGACTGAATCGGCCGTTAAAGCCCTTGATCTCCCGGTTTACCCGCACTGCGAGGCGGATGCCATTATAACCCGTCGAGTTGGTTTTATTATCAGGTTATTATTCATCAAACTTCCATTAAGTGGCCACTTTCCATGAGACTGGCTGGATCAGCGGCTAAAGTTGCTTTTCTATTTCATCCAGGATGTTTCTGTGTCCCACAGACCGGCCGAACTGGGGGAGCTGGTTCCCAGTAACCTGGTTGGGGGTGCTAACTGAGCCGAACGGCGCTGGGTTTGCGGGGAATGTGTTTAAAAGTGACGCAGTGTATGGATGGCGCTGCGGGTGTTTTTTTTCTGAGGGTCTGGAACCAGTTTGCGGGAGTCTCTGGTTTCTCCCGGTGCCACTGGTTGCTCTGGGGACTGCCCGGGTGGATCTGTGGCATCACGCTGGCTCGGCTCGTCGGGCTGGTCGGAGTGGTTCCCCCCCCCCAACATCAGGCTCCTGCAGTGGAGGTGGAAAAATCCTCACCGAGTGCGTTTCTTCTAATTAACGGGGCTTTAGCGCATAAAGAGCCGTCCTTACGTCATCCGCCTGGATGGGTGGATGAGGCTCTCTCCTCTCTTTCCTCCCACCTCCTCCCCTCCTCTCCGGCTGGGTGTGTCCCGCCTTATTGCGTTAGGAAGGAGGGAGATCCCGCATCTCGGCTGCGTGACTCCTCCTCGACTTGTGACCTCCAAGGAGGGCATTGCTGCAGCTTAACCCCCCGACAGACACGCAGGCTGTAGAGAGGAATGGAAATGATGCGCATTTGAATCAGATTTGAATATTTATTTGAAATGTGAAGTAGAACTGGAGTTCATTTCCATAGTTTCCTGGTTGTTTGCTGAGGAATTTCTCCATGTTGTCTCCCTGAATGTTAATATCTGCAGGTTGGAAAGGAACAATTTCAACCTGTATAAGGCAAATAAGACAACCAAGACCAAGACAAGAAGAGCTGAGACGATTCAAATAATCACCTAATTGAATAATCGATTAATCTTAACTGGAGTACACAGACTCTATTAACACACTCAGAGTAGTAATTAACCAAATACTGTACAAAAATATATATTTATTGCGTTAAAGATTTAGCTTCACCTGGTTTCATATTCTGTAAAAAATCTATTAATTATTATGACTGTAATGATAAATTTTGTCCCTGAAGTAATCATGATTAAAGATAATGTCTTTGTTTTGAAACCATTTTCAAGCAATATAACAGTAATGACAGAGTAATGCAAGAACACATTATCAAAGATCATTTAAATTCTAATAAACATTTAACACTGCATCTGAAAGACATTTTAAATATCCAAAACAACAGAAGCAACAAATAAAATGAATTAATGAATGACTGAATCATGTGATTAACTGATTTATTGCTTATTGTGACTAGCCTCCTATTAATCATCTTGTCGTATCCAGTTATTAATCGATTATTCAGTACAATAATCGGATCGGTCCTGCACTGCATTGATGTTTAGCACTTTCTGCTGGAGTTTTCCACATGTTGATGTTAAAATGATTTTTTTTAATTGCAAATGCATTCTTTGCTACAAATGATCAAGGAATGATAAAATGTTTAGGTAACACTTTATTTGACAGGGTGTGCATAATACTGACATGACACTATCATAAACATGATTTAACATCTGTCATGATTATGAAGGAGTCTTTATGAACATCTATGACTGTTGTCATGAAGAGTCATTCGGTGCAAAGTTGCTCTAAAAATTGCATTAAAAGTCCATTAAAAGTGCCAACTTTGTATTATTTTGTAAATAATGAAACTTTAATACAAAGTTGTCACTTTTAATGGACTTTCAATGCAACTTTTAGAGCAACGTTCCATTAAAAGTCATTATTTACCGAATGACACTTCATGACAACAGTCATAGACATTCATAAAGACTTCTTTATGTTCATGACAGATGTTATGTCATGTTTATCACAGTGTCATGTATGCACACCCTATCAAGTAAAGTGTTACCAATGTTTATTTTCTTATTTAAAGAAAATGTTGAATAATTTTTTTATTTTTTATTTTTTTTTTTTTTTTAATAATTTTATATTTTTAAAAAAAATTTGATTAACCAAAATACTTATGGGAAATATTCTGGGACTGATGGAAGAGGAAGAGTTTATCTGGTGAATTTGGTAGAAAACTAAGGTTTAGGAGGATCCTCATGCCGACAGTGAGGCCTGGTGGTGGTGTGATGCTCTGGGCTGCTGAAGGATGTGGAGCGAATCCTTCCTGCCAACTGCATGCTGGGAGTTTACTGGGGCGGAAACTGGTTTGCTCCAGCAGGGACGGGCCACACCCACTTAAAGCTTCAGCCCAGGAATTTGTTGTGACTTAATTACAAACATGATTAAAAATTTAATCATCAGTTTCAATTTAAATGATAACTGCATCAATTAATATTTTTTAATATCCAGTATGGCTGTGCAATAAATTGATTTTAGCCGTTAATGGAATTTGCTGTTTATGAAGATTAAATTCTGGAAAATCAGAGTTTATTTATTATTTTTCACCACAGTTTAGAGTGATATCAGGCCGCCATCCTGGATTACAGCTTGTACTTAGTTAGACTTTGAGTGCAGCTCAACTCCCAGAAAGCATGATTGGAAAAAAAAGTTTTGAAAATATTTATAATTTATTTGTTTATTTATAGGAGTGTACTGATTTCAGTTTCGCGGTCGATCTTTAAAAAGCCTGATCTGCCGATTCTGATTTTAACCAACGCCTTTTTTTGTCTGAAATGTTGCTAAATATAGCAAAAAGACAGTAGCTGAGTTGGTAACAGTTGGGTGATTATTAACTGTGAGTGTGTAGAGATGACCTGGTGGATTGGTCTGTCAGTCAAACCTGGTTCTGGTTCTCCAGTTCATAAACTCCTCTCTGCTGTCTGTCTGTCCTGCAGGTCCATGTTGCTCGGAATGCATCTCTCTAAAGTTGCGTGCCGTTTCATGGCGTTAGCTCCAGGCTAGCTGGCCTACATGCTAACCAGAGCTGATTGATCTCCTCTGGCGCTGGGACCAGTTTCAGGTTCAAACTGGGCCGTAGTTTCCATCATTAACAAGCCATACCAACATCATCCTGACTGGATGCTTAATCATCTGTCAGTACATCTGAAATCTTTTGTTTCGTCTGAAAACAGCAGATTTTAAAGGATAAGTTGGTTTCAGGTTGCAGTGATTCTCCTCCACTGATCAGTTTGGATCAAAATCCAACTTTAGTGTTGGCTGCAGCGGTGAGGAGCGGTTCTGGTAGCTGGTCGGGTCGAGCAGTGAACCCGCTGCAGTTCCATCATTACCATAGCGTAGGAGCCTCAACTGATGCAGTGGCCAGTTGGAAGAAATCTTCTTTTAATTTCTTTATCTGTGCTTGCAAAATGAAAAACATCTCCTCTTCATCGACGTCCGCCTCCATCTGCGATGAGCGATGAAGTCATCTCCTCCATGCTGAACATCTCACATTAAGCTGCTGCTGCAAAAATCATTTTAACCTGAAAAATACCTTTAAAACAAACAGATGTCTGACGTCATAAACACCATTTAGCATGAATTTTATAGTTTACTCGACTCTTTACTGCACATTTGAAGAAAATACATTGTCAGAAATAAAGTTTCTTTCTGGGTCCAGTTCTGGTCCAGTTGGGTGGAACCAGACGGAGCTGTGCAGTCTGCATGGTTCGACTCCAGCTGTGTGTAAATAATTAACCAGAATGATTTAGAGGGGTTGCTGCGTAATGAGACGAATGTTTAACCAGTTTCAACCTGTGACTTTCCATTTAGACATGGAACAAGATTCTGACAATAAACCAAATTGGTTTATTTCAGTTTTCAGTGTTTTCACTTCACAAGTTGAGGAAAATCTGAACATTGATGCTGAACTGAGAACAGTCTGCACTGCAGTCAGCTAAATATTTAAATGTTCTTCCTTCAGGCTCTCTGTAGCTGACATATTTAGTGACACTTTGTATTTATGAAGGGATCAAGTTGTTACAAAGCTCTTTTATTTTTATTTTTTAGCTGAAATCTGTTTTATTTTTCGAAATTTTCTGCATATTCGTTCTTTCTATTTAAACTCGACTGCATTCAGACTTCCATGTAAACAGTTTCTGATCCCAAAACAATGCGCAGAAGAAGAATGTAGCCGTCACCCAGCAGGGCTCTGTTTACAGCAGTAAAGATGGCCGCCGCCGTCTGTGGATGGATTTTAAAGTTGTTCAGAGCAGACAGCATGGTCACCAGGTCAGAACCAGACGAAGAAAGATGATAAAATTTACCGTTAGAATTATGTCACTTCTCATATCAGTGATGTAAAAGATAAAATGTGACATGACCTTTCAGACTGCAGATATTTTGAAAACTGTTTAGCTCCACATCTGGAAGTGGAACAGATTGTTTTTGGGTGAAAAACTCTTGATTTGTGTCACGCTCGCAAGCCTGAGTTGTTCCAGGAGAAATGTTAAGCAGAAGCAACTTTTCAGTCAAACATTCTTGTTGGGGTGGAAACATAGATCTTTTTCCTAGAAGCTGGATGGAGTTCTCATTAACTGGGTT